AGAGAAATCCTGTTTTGAAAAAATAAAATAAGATAAATAAAATGAAAAGTGTACTGCCCCTGGGCATAGTGGAGCACATCTTTAATCCCAGAACTTGGGAGGCAGAGGCAGGCGGATCTTTGTGAGTAAGAGGCCAGTTGAGTCTACAGAGTGAGTTCCAGAACAGCCAGAAGAGCTACATAGTGAGATTCTGTCTGGAAATGCGGGGGGTGGGGTGGGGGGCATTACAAGGCCAGGAAATGTTACAATCATATAATCTTTTTCCCTATATTATGTCCTGTAGTAAGATTGTCCTCTTTATTTTTTTTAAGGGAGAACCCAAACACACAACCAGAAATTATATAGTCAAGTTTCTCCCATTTGCAGAAATCACAGTGGTCAGTGCATCCAGCGTACAATGAATGAGCATCATCCTGGGAAAAACCTCTCCATGGTCGTGGCATCTCCCCTCCCAGGAAGGTATCACTTATCCTTTTTATGAAGTGAATTGCAAATGCACTGATTAATGTCCACTTACACATCCCTGTATAGAAATTATGATTTTGTGATTATAGTAATCACAAGATTACAGTGCAAACAAACAATCTGTCCCTGTGAAATATTGGCAATAAATTACCTCGCTGCATAAACGCTAAAAAGATTTTATGAGCGCTAACCACAGGCCCACAAATCCCAAATGGGACTGAAGGGCAAAACATGGGTGATCAGCAAGTGGCAGGAATTGGACAAACACACAGTGCTGCCCAGCAGGGGGTCCTGGCAGATTTTTGCCATTCACAACATGTGTGAGAAGGACACAGGCCAACTGACCAAATCAGACACCTGTTAATAAAAGGACCTAAAAGCAACTCTGTCCTTGGCCTTAGGCTAAACCCAGCACACACAGAACACAGACACAGAACAGTGGAAAGCCCAGAGGCCTGGTCAAGGCATTAAGAACCTAATTTTTCATCTGGCAACAGTGTGGCCTTGCTGGTGTGTTCCTTTCAAATTAGATGACCAGTCCTTTCACCATATCAGCATAGGCACATTTATTTCAGTGCCAGGCTCAGACTTGAGTGCTATTACTGCTAACTAGCCACAGAAACACAATAGCAATCCCAGCCCTCTGACTCTGCAGGCCACCTCTTTAGGTGTCCCTTTTATTTCTGAGAAAGTCTCACAACAAAGTCCAGGCTGCCCTCGGAGTGCTGGGGTAACAGGTGTGTGCCATGTGCCTTAATTTTCCATTGTTCCTGAACATCCCTTAGGTCCCCTCAAGTGGCTTCCCACCATCCTCCAGGGGAACAGAAGCTGAGTGGAGATGCGTGTTTACAGCTGTGGTTTGTCTGGATTGTCCCTGATGCCTGACAATTGAGGGAAAACTAACAAGAGAATGATAAAACGAGGGGGGAAGTCATGTGGAAATATAACTCAGCCGGACAGTGGTGGCACTCGCCTTTAATCTCAACCCTTGGGAGGCAGAGGCTGGTGGATCTCTGAGTTCGAGACCCACCTGGTCTACAAAGTGAGTTTCGGGACAGCCAAGACTACACAGAGAAATCTTGTCTCAAAAAGGGGGTGTGGGGAGGGAGCTGGAGAGATGGCTCAGAGGTTAAGAGCACTGACTGCTCTTCCAGAGGTCCTGAGTACAATTCCCAGCACCTACATGGTGGCTCACGACCATCTGTAATGAGATCTGGTGCCTTCTTCTGTGTACATAATAAATAAATAAATCTTTAAAAAAAAAAAAAAAAGCAAGAAAAATGTGAAAAAAAAAAAAGAATTTACCAGTAACAAAGTTGAGTTTCTAAATAAAAACTAGATATAACTAGCTTGGGGGCTTAATTTTTGCAGTTCTTTATGTACTCAGGTTACCAAACTCCTGGCTAAAATCTGGTGGCAATGGTTTCCTCCCATTCTGTAGGCTGTCTGTTTCATTTGCTGTGCTTGAAAGGAGATATATATATATATATATATATATATATATATATATATATATATATATATATTCATTTATTTTCACTTCATGTGCATTTGTGTTTTGTCTGCATGTATGTCTATGTGAGGGTGTCAGATCCCCTGGAACTGGAGTTACAGACAGTTGTGACCTGCCATGTGGGTGCTGGGAATTGAACCTGGGTTCTCTAAAAGAGCAGTCAGTGCTCTTAACCATTGAGCAATCTCTCCAGCCTTGCTGTGTAGAAATTTTTGACTTCATGTGACTGTGTCTCTTTATTCTTGGGACTATTTCTGATGCTACTGGAAGCCTGTTCAGAAAGTCCCTGTCAAATACCTATGTGTTGAACTATATTCTGCATGTTTCCCACTAGCACTTTGAGCATTTCAGGTTTTAAATTAAGGTCTTTGATCCACTTTGAATTGATTTTTTTACAGGGTAAGAAATATGAATCTCATTTTACTCCTCTACAGGTATGTCTTAGGCTTTCTATTGCTGTGACAAGACACCATGACCAGGGCAGTTTATAAAAGAAAGCGTGTCGTTGGACTCTAGAGGGTTAGAGTCCTTGATGGCAGAAAAAAGGCACAGTGGCAGAAACAGCAGAAAGCCCACATCTTGATCCACAAATTGGAGCTAGAGAGAGCTCACTGGGAGTGGCAAGAGCTTTGGAAACCTCAAAACCCACTCCCAGTGACACACTTCTTCCAATAAGACCACACCTCCTGGGCTGGAGAAATGGCTCAGAGGTTAAGAGCATTGACTGCTCTTCCAGAGGTCCTGAGTTCAATTCCCAGCAACCACATGGTGGCTCATAACCATCTGTAATGAGATCTGGCACCCTCTTCTGTATGCATAATAAATAAATAAACCTTAAAAAAAAAGACCACACCTCCTAACCCTTCCCAAGCAGTTCCATCAACTGGGGACCAAGTATTCAAACATGTGTAATGCAAGCCACAAAAAATATGTGAAGTAGGAATTCAGCCGATTATGACAAAGCTATACTTGGAGGAGTTAAGAACTCTTCCAGAGAATGAGAGCAAGGCTCGGGGAGTCTTGGTGATATTGGCTTTTGATTATTAGCCATTTCCTGCTATGAATTTCTCATGTGCTATTGTAGCTTTTCCATCATCCATTGGACACAATTTCCCCTCTACTAAAGAATATTTAGATAACCTTCTGCAGCCAGGATCCCTAATTTCAAACCTTTTTGTAATTATCATCATTAGCAGTATCCAGCCAGGCCCATCCCCAGACAGACAAAAGTATCTTATCTGAGATACCTCACAGATTCTCTAAGAACAGACTTAAGCATCCAGACTACCTGTTTGAGAAGGCCTGGCGGGTGTGCTAATTAAGCTTAACTTTCTCCTTTTCCAAATCCTATCTCTAGTTTTAGATCTCCTTTTTTTTTTTTTTTTTTTTTTAGGTTTTTGAGACAGGGTTTCTCTGTGTAGTTTTGGTGCCTGTACTGAATCTCACTCTGTAGACCAGGCTGGCTTCAAACTCACAGAGATCCACCTGGCTCTTCCTCTCGAGTGCTGGGATTAAAGGCGTGTGCCACCACCCGGCCCTGTGAAGGCCACTCTTATTCAAATGGCTATAAGATGGATACCCAGCTTTGCCAGCACTATTTGTTGTTATCCTTTTGTGAGGGTATGTTTTTGACATCTGTTAAAAATTAGGTGGTCATACCTGTGCAAGTTTACCTCTAGGCCCTCTATTTAGCTCTAATGAGCTCCATCCAGGTCCATTCATACAGTATCCGCCATACATAACTCAGTGACATAATCTGAAGTGGAGTATTGTGATACCTCCAACAGTGTTCTTTCTGCTCAGGATCTATTCAGTTATTTGTCATCCTTTGTATTTCCATATGAGTTTTTAATTGCTTTTTTCTAGTTATCTGGAAAATGTCATTGGAACTTGGTTGCGGAATATTCCTTTACACTGTGTGAAGATGTGTCACTGTGATTGGTTTAATAAAGAGCTGAATGGCCAATAGCTAGTCAAGAAGAGCTTAAGCAGGGAGAGAGAGAACTCAGGGAGGAAGAAGGCGGAGTCACCAGCCAGACTCGAGGAAGCAGCATGGGCAGTACAGAGATGAGGTAATGAGCCACGAGGCAGAACATAGATTAAAATAAATGGGTTAATTTAAGTTATAAGAGCTGGTGGGACAAGCCTAAGCCAAGGGCAAGCTTTCATAGTTAATAGTAAGTCTCTGTGTCATTTTTGGGGAGCTGATGGGACAATGAAAGATTCATTACAGAACTTTGACGAGGATGGCATCAAATCTGTAAATTATTTGTGTATGTACAGCCATTTTCATAATATTAATTCTATTAATCAAAGACCATGGAAGGTCTTTTTATCATCTAGTTTCATCTTTAATTTCTTTTTTCAGTGTCTTAAAGTTTTCATTATAGAAGTCTTTCATTTTCTTGGTTAGGTTCATTCCTAAGTATTTTATGTTTGGGGGTTTCTTTGGTTTGGGTCTTTTGTTTGTTTATGTTGTATCTTGTTTTTTGAGATAAGAATAGATGGATTTAAAAACCAAACTTTAAGGACTTGGGATATAGTCCCAGGTTAGACCATGTGTGAGGCTGTGGCTTGATTCCCAGCTAGGAAACAAAATGTCAGGGGTGGCGACATGTCTGTAGTCCTGGTCTGCTCAGAGGTCTCCAGGCCCAGCAGGGCTACCCAGACAGATCCTGTCTCAACATGAAACAAAACAAGACAAAACGAAAAGTCCAAAGATGGTATGACCATGTTAGAATAAGTGAAGTTTGCTGTATTAATTAACTTATCAACAATATTGATAAATTAAGAACTAATTTCAGAAACACACAAGAAGGACCCAATAACTCTAAACTTTCTAGCTTGATAATGAATGAAGATTTTAATTTAACCTCCAGATTTCACATTTTTTGAGTCTCAGGATACCCATATATTGAAAGTGAAAAGAAATGCCCAGAACCCCAGAAAGGAGGAGACGGTACCTGAATGTCTGCAATCGTGCTGGAGACCTTCCTCTTGGATGGTCGTGAGCTTGTTCTACAGTCTATGAAGGACAGAGGCAAAGCACACATTCAGAGGAAGGGGTGGCAGACCCTTGCTGACAGGCCTCCTCTAGTGTCTCCCCCATGCCGTGTCCCTGTCTCCTCTGTGTACCCATAAAGCGACAGGGCGCGGGCTCATGCCTTCCTCCCTACAAGCTAAGTAGTAACATTTGGGGTCCTCGTATGGAGGGGAGGCAT